CGGCGGCTCGTGCGTTGGGCCCGGCGGCCCCCCTTGTGGGGAACAGCTGTTTAAACAGCCGGCGTAATGCCGGCTCGCACAGCCGTAATGGCGGCCGCGTCTGCTGCTGCAGTCCCAGCTCCGCCGCCGCTGTCCCTCCCAGGGTGAGCATCCCGGCCCGTGGCTTTCTTGAGGGGGTGTTGTTGCCCCCCTATCCTGCCTGTCCTCCGCCTGTACCCATGACGGCGGCTCGTCACCGTCACAGTCTTTAAGACTGTTTTCTTCTATCTGTTAGGGTTGGATTGAACAATAAGCTCGGTCCCTCCTGGGGGAACAACTGCCTGTTTCTTTTTAAAGCCACACACACAAAAAAAGGTTCTTCTCAGCATGTTTGCCCAATATGAGCCATGTATTTTATAATCATGCTTGGTGTTGGCTGCATTTAATCAAGTTGATAGCTGGTTTTCATTGCTGAGTGCGAGCGGGCATCCCTGAATCAATCAAAAGACAGCACACTTTGGCTGAGCTTCCCTCCCCTGTTTGTTCTCTCCTGCCATGACTTGATGGGAGTTAAGGTTAAGACTCACAGGTGGGTAGCTTCCAGTTTAGATAACTCCAAATGTGACGCTCTCCCTTATGGGATTTGGGGACCTCACCCTGCAGACCTCCTCTCCCTCCCTCTTAAAGAACAAACTGTAAACCAGGTGGCTAATTGCTGGGTAATGGCTTTTAATTTACTCTTTTCTCCCCTTCCAGAAAGACACGTCTTTCAGCTAGACAAAATTACTTAATCAGTCCACAAACGTTCTTTTCCCGACACCTATCAACAAAAAAATCTCTAATCAATATTGGGTGCCTGTCCTGCAGAGTTTCCAACAGGCTCTACTCACGGTGCTCCAGGCTGATTCAACTGCTGCTGCCCTTGGGGAATGCTTTCGCTCCCATGCCTCTGCACAAGAATTGGCTCTGTCGCTCAAACTTCCTCTCTCGGCTTCAGCTCCTCCGCCTTCTGGGGAAAAGCAGCAAGTTAAGTCCCACTCCTCTTATAAGAGCTCGCTAATTAGTAATTTACAAATTTTCTGGTCTATGATGCAACGAGTATTCCCAGCACTGGTGGAACGACATCATCTCGCCAGCTGGTCCTGCCACATGCCTGGTAAGTTTCTTGCTCTCTTTTCTCCTTCGTAACAGAGTCACCAGCTCCCTGTTACACAGAGAACATGCTGCTTTTAGCAGCAGTTCAAAGAAAAACAGCGTATTTAATGCAATTCACTTGTATGTATGGGACGGGTGGCTTTGTCTTGTATTTGAGTAAATATGGTAGATAGAAGGCTACTAGAGAAATGCAAAATGCTGTTCCACAAGTGGCACATAACAAAGTACTATCTGCTATATTTATAAAGTCTATTTAAATCAGTGGGCTAATTCTCTCAAATACACAGGCAAAATTCTGTCAGCGATGTGAATTAACTCATTACATTTGAAAAATTGTTACTTTTGGATAGTTATGTTTGATAAGATTTTTGGAAATTGTATTGAAGTTGGCTTAAAAGAATGATTATGTTTTAGTAAGAAAATATTACTGTGAAGCATATTTTTAAAGTAAAGTAGCTTTTTTTTGGCAAAGCTGTTGCTGTAATTCATGCTTTAAAAATCAAGTCACTTAAAAATTGGGAGAAAAAAATCATTTTATCTGTGAAAAAAACCCTGAACTTTTCTATACAGTTCAAACAGTACATTCACAGATGACTTAATTATATATTACATTTGGTATTTAGTATTTATTAATTAAATTGTTCCCAACAGAATATAGGAGTATCTTGTAAACGCTGAGAAAACTTGTGTTTAGATCTGAATGAGTCATCATCTTTGCTTTGCCATGTATAAATACTGAACACGTGTGATGTCAGCATAATATTTAATTTTCTTCTCAGTCACTGAGCTGAGTGAGTACCAGCACTGGAAAAACAAACTCCTTGCAAAGTATATTGCTGCTTTTGGCCTTCTCCTTTGGTAGGTTTGAGGTAGGACAGCATGTGCTTTCTCTGTAAAGCTTTGACTTATTTTCTTACTGTGTATTTCCACCATGCTATTAGGAAAAATACCAATTAAAAATAATGTTGTATTTTAAAGAAAGTAGAAGTGGTAGAACTTTAAAACTTTTTAAATTAAGCGATTTAGTCTAACCTTGCCTTCTGCCCTTTCTTCCTGTTACTGAACAGTGGACGCATCTACACATGTACTTTGCTGTGCGGTAGACTAATTAGCTGTGGAGTAAAGCATCACTATCTACATGTGCAATGGTATTAGGCCACAGTAAACTAATTATCACTGCCATAAGATAGTACTGCCGGAGTAATTAATTGTAATTAAATACGCATGTAGATGCTAACCTCAGCCATAAATTGTACCTGGTCAGTCCGGGCAGCAAGGGTCCAGACTCCTGCCTGCTGCCTAGCCCATGGGTCTGCACTTTCAGCACCCTCATGCCACAGCAAACCTCTCTGCTGCCAAACACCACGAACTGGAGTCCATGGCAGAGCAAGGCAGGAGCAGCCCTGACATAAATTGCTCCACCCTGGCTCAAATTGCCACTGTCCCAGGTGCATGTGTAGACGTACCCAGTGTTATTCTGCACTGAATGTATTTTAAGTATCAACTAGTGATCTCAGGGTGAGGGGTGAGTTGTATTAAGCAGTTGTCTGTGAACTTAGTTTAAACTCATTAGCCAAGCGGAATACGTATTGTACCTCTGGGTTGTAAATCTGTGAATCTGTCTGAAGTGAATTTGGAACAAAAAAAGGTTAAATGACCTCTGTAAATTTTGTGGGCATGCCATGAGTTGTTCCTTATGCCCTATGCTGAATTGTAATTGTGACTCTTTTCCTTCTTCCCTCCCCCACCCAAAGACAAACAAAACAGAAATAGCATTCATCAGTTTGTAAGCAGAAGATGTCAAAAAGTCCATCTGTGCTGTCAGTCCCCTATATTAGTCCACAGCTTGGTCTTGCCTATATAATCAGAACCAGGTTGTCGCATATCAGAGTTCCAAAACAGTATTTAAGCCCTGTAGGAAGCATGGTGTAGTGCCATCTACAAAGGCAAGAGCAATGCATAATGTACTATATAGCTTTATTGTTTGTTTTAAATAGGCCCTTAGAATTACATTAGAAAATGGACAAGGCTAAGAACAAAATATTTTTTGAATCATGTTGACTTGTGGGCCATACATCATTAAAATATGTTAAAGAAAAATATATTTGCTCCAAGGAAAAAAATACAAAATACATAGAAAAGAGAATACCCATAGCAACAGATGCTGCAATTAAAATCCCTCAGTCAGTGATTCAGAGTGTTATACTCAAGCAATATAAATATTATAAACTGGTCCACATTATTTGGAGGGTGTTGCAAGGTACTAAAGTGCCTGCTCCTTTAAGAGCAGAAACTGCCTAGGGAGAGGGCCCTGAGAGCCAGACAGAAACCCCACAGGTGCAGGCTACTATGGCAGCAGGCTAACAAGGGAATTAGCCTGCACCTGCACCCGGTCAGCTGGCCGGAAGAAGTCAGGGCACTGGGCACATATAAACCCCAGGGCTGAGACCAGCAGGGGTTAGTTCTCTGGCGGCAGCCGGGGGAAGGAGCCTCCAGGGAAGAATTGCCCAGAGACGCTGGTGGCCACCTGATATGCTGCATATAGGCCTAATGCAGCCCCAGGAGCTCACCAGGTACCCTGGCCTACAAGGCACTTAGTGCTGGGGGGAAGTTTGACTCCTTTAAAGGGAGAGAGCACACCCTGAACTGTTTGTAGCATGTTATAACCTAGGGGCTCATATTTTGGTTGCTGTTGGTAAACCAGTGGATTGGGGAAGGAGAAGGCCTCATTGGGGGCCCACTACAGTGTGGGGACCTTGGCACCAGGGGGCATGGTGACAAAGGGGGTGAGCAGACCCCAGCACCAGGGGGCGCAGTGACAAAGGGTGTGAGCAGACTCCAGTGCCAGTGTGGGTGTAGAGACAGGGCTGCGGAGGGCCCAGTGCCAGTGTGGGTGCAGAGACAGGGCTGCGGAGGGCCCAGTGCCAGTGTGGGCGCAGAGACAGGGCTGTGGAGAGCCTGACAATGACAGGAGGCTGAACTAGACTATGGCCTCAGAGAGGTAATATGTCATTACCATCTGTGAGGCTTGGGGCATGGTAAAGGGGTGGTTTTGGAGCCACATCTAGCCCATAAGGCTGAGGATGCCTGTGAGGCATCCATTTTGAGCGGTCCAAGAACCCACAAGAACCCAGGGGGTGCAGCAGGGTCCATCAGGACCGTGTCCAAACAAAAACTCGAGGGCATCCTCCCTATATTATAATTACCAGCAAGACGTGGCAGACGAGGAAAAGGGTGCCCATTGAGCAACACTGGCACAGTCACGGAGCCCTAGGAGCATCACGGCCATCCCTGGGGACCCCATCCTGTGACAGAGGGAAATGCCCCAAATGGTAAAAGTCAGAGCAGGTTAGAAGTTATTTTTTCAGGAAAATGACTTTTCGTGTTCTCTTACTTTAAAATCTGTGAAAAGTCCTGGGTACAGATAAGAATAAGAAAAAATTCTGGAATCTCAAAAATATTTGTGAAATGGACAAAAATGTCTTGCCTAGTTGCAGTAAAAATAAGAATGTTCACTCTCAGCAACTTACTGAACACTATGGCCATTAAATAGGTGTTGCATGGCACCTAATCATTTCACAGTGCCTAAAAGTATTATCTACAGGACTGCCTAGCCTCTTTTTAATAACTGCCTGAGAAAAGCCAAGCAGAAATATTTAAAATATGCTTTGTCCACCAATGCACCAATTTAAGGAAAGAAAAGATAAAGTGAAATTAAAAAGCTTATAAAAAATTTCTGAATGCTTATTTTTTCTTGCTACTTGAGCTAACAGAGAAGTGATTCATACCTCTACTAGATCATTTTAGGCCTTGTTGTAGATCTCCTTAGTCCCAGGCTTGTTGCCAAGTAGATTCCAGATTTGAGAGAGCACAAGAAACTACAAGAAGCAACAGCAGACTTAGACCATGAACAGGTATTACGTTTGTGCTGAGAGAAAAGGAGTGCGTGGGGTAATAACAGAAACGGAGTGCATGGGGTGGAAAGCCCTCCCAGAGTCATGGGACAGTTCCAGCCCTGACAGAGTGACCCCCAGTCTTTGCACTCCTCCAGGTGACCCAGAGGGTGACCCCCATCAGTGCCGGGGGCAAGGAATATATGGGGTGAGGACAGCAGTTCTCTGTACTCTCCTCAGGCAAGAAACTGTAGCAGCTGCTGCTTTTCAACAGCTGCCTATTTCACAGTCTGTCCCTTTCCCTGGCAATGGAGAGAGCAGGCTATCAATCCCTAAGGGCTGGGGTGGCCTAGGGAGCAGACATCAAGTGCCCCTTGGCTGGAATGCTCTCCTGTGTAGCTCTCCAGCTACAGGGCTGGAAAGCACATACACTCCCAACTCCCAAACTAGAAATGAGTGCCATCCATGGCTCTGGATTACAACATGGAAGCTGCTGAAAATATGGCTGCATGTAAAATTAATTACTAGCAAGGACCTAGTTTTAAACATGTGTTCCATCAAACACATTTCCCAGAATTGTATTTTGCTTTAATTTGTACAGATTTATTTGGTGTATTTGTAAACACGTAACTTTGCCCAAAATTTGTTTCACAAAAAGTAAGATCTTGTTTTTTAGCAGGCTTAGGTATAATAGCTTAAAATACTTATAAATGCATGTCATTCTTCACTTCATTGTATAAACAGTCTTTTCTTGACAAATATCAGTATTTTGGAATCTTCCCTCCTTTTTCTGTTGAATGAAATCAATTCATTTTTGTGTCATCCAACAATTGACACAATAGTTTGGCTGTAATTAGGGATTTATGAAACCTGACTTGCTAGCTGTTCAGTGGACCTAAACTTCAAAAGATAAATCTTTAAAAAATATATATATATTTTGAGAACTGTGGGGAATAGTAGTATGCCTGACAGTTTCCTTGGTATCTCAGAAGAAATTTCTGAGTGGAGAAGAAACAGCATCTATTTCTATGCTAAATAGAAAGAGAAATCATATAATGTTTAATAGGATTACACTCATCTTGTGGTCAGGAATAAGATATAAAGAGCATCACATTTTAAATGTAATTGCTTCTAATATTATAAAATAGCAACAAGGGTTTAAGTACACATTTATAAATTGGTCATATGTCATAATGGTAGAGGCTTAGAGACTGTATATGGTGGTTTCTTAAAACTGTAGCTATAAATGTAATTTTAAGTGACAAACAAAAGTTGGCTTAAGAAATAATTTACTTGACCTTCTAAGGAATAGTAATCAAAGCACAGTTAAGGTCAACCCTGCTCACGAAGGGGCACACCAGAACTTAGCATTATGATACTAACCTTTAGAAACTTACTCTTTTTTAAAAGGAAGCTAATCAAAAGTGCAGAAACAATGGAATCTCTATGATTGTCCAAGAAAAATAAATATGCTATAGTAGTTGCAGAGGACATGTGAGCCACTAACTCAGGACTCAGCAACCTGTGGTTTGTGGGCCAGATCCAGCCTGCAGAGCCATTGGATCCAGCCCAGAGTCAGAGAGTTTTGGTGGTAGGAGCTATGTTTGTGTAACCTTGGACCTGAGCTGTTGCCAAACGGTGCTCCAAACCAGGGATGTTTGACTGGTGGCCTGCAGGCTGCATGCAGGGCCAGCATGTGGACCATGGGTCCCAGAGGCTGATGTCCAGTTGTCTGTGGGGTAGGTGTCTGTACATCACTTTCATGACCCACTGGCCTGGTCAGATCTGTGCACTGCCCAGGGGCAGCTCCCACAATGTGTTGCTCATGTAGTGTTGGGCCCAGGGTTTGTATGGAAATTGGACAGCCCTGCTTTAACCAAAAAACAAAAGTTAGAAAAATCGTACAGTTAAATTGCTTTGTTCCAAAGATTATTTAAGCTGTAGTGTATCCCTCAGGAAATTAATATCCAAAGTTCAGGACAGAGCTGAGCATTCACCAGGGCAGATAAAAGGTACTTACACTTAGAAGACCAAGGGAATTTAAAAGGAAACAACAAGAACACATCTCACTTTCTAAAGGAGCTTTGAGGAGGAAGAGGAGGTGTTCTGCAACCTAGTGCATTCAACTATGAGAGAGAATAGTTAAATAGTGCTTGTATTGCTTTTCATCACAGGGAGTGTTGCGGTATACTTGCCTCTCTAGGGTAATAAAGGTGAGGCACAGTCAGAATGAGTGTTTAAATGAAGTGCTAGAACAAATCATTAAATAGCAGTAGGTCATCAGAATTTTCATGGCAGCTCAGCTCAGAGTTCTGATAGTACTTTGGAATGAAATGGCTGAGCTGCTGGAAAAATATATCATCTCTTGTTAAAATAGCTACTGTGTTGAAGGACCATATGATAGCAAATGTATTGCTTGGTATGATAGAATATGATAGCTGTACTGGTAATGGTGCCACCAGAAAAGGCTCTGATAATGATCTTGAGAATTAGGCCAACAAGCTTCACTTGAATAATCCTTATGTTGGATAAAGACTGTCATAAAATACCTGAAAACAAATTGGCTTGACAGCTATTTAAAGTAGTGCCTCTCCCGTCTGTTTTTAGAATGTTCAGCCCTGCAAAATCATAGAATCACAGAAAAGTAGGGCTGGAAGGAATGTCCTGATGTCATCTAGTCCAAGCCCCTGTCTGAGGCAGGATCATTCCTATCCAAACCATCCCATAACAAGTCCTTGTCTAACCTATTCCTAAAACTACAGTCAACCCTGATGAAAATGAAAATGTACGCATGAAAATGTACGCAGTTAAGTTCAATACTAAGAAACTCCTATTTTCAGTCTTTGCTTTATGTGAAGAGTTCTATTTCTTAGTTTACTAAGTTTCTTAGGTTAAAATATATGCAAATCACTGTCTGGCTTTATGGGCAATGGTTGTGACTTTTTCAGAGAAATCTTCTTTCTGGCTTCCTTTGTATGGAAGCATGTGCTGCTGTTTAGTTGTTCAACCATCCTGCATGACTGACGATGTAATGATGGGATTTCTTCATCATCAGGTAAAATAAAGCTGTCTTTTTTTGTTGTCTTTTCATGAACAATTGATACTCAGTGGTAACTGGTAAAACATTAGCATATTCCTATCTTGATATGTTGACATCTGGTATCTTACTCCAAGGCTGGGGAAACAGTTCTCTTAAGGTGAATACTGGTAAACAGTGGCCTAATAATGGCAACCTTTGGGCGCGGCCACACGAGTATGCATGTTCTCCTTGCCCCACCTTAAACCCATTTGAGGCAGGGCAACAGTCATGTGCGGGAACAGAAAAATATTCCCCACGCTACAAACTTGTAGCGCAGGGAGAAAATTAGACCCCTGGATATCTAGGGGTCTAAAAAAAAAATCGATGTTTAAAAAAGCGGGGCAGGGCACGGTCCCTGCCCATGCTCTGAGGCAATCGGAGGCCATTGGGAGGGCTGCAGCAAATGGTGGGGGCTGGGACCGGGGGGGGGGGCGGCAATTGGGGGGGGGGGGGGGGGCAGCAATTGGGTGGGGGAGGTGGGCCTTGCAAGGGGGTGGTAGCTCCTGTGGGGGCCATTTGGCCCCCTCTGGGGGGCCGTACCCTTGTGTGGGGGCTGAATCCCCTGTTGGGGGCCCGTACCCCTTGTATCAGGGCTGAACTCCCTGTTGGGGGGGCCAAACCCCTAGTGTGGGGGTCATTGCCCTGTGGGAGTGCAGCAAAACTTGTTCATGAATTCATGAAACCTGTATTTAGAGTTCACTTTATTATTATTATAAGAGACTTAACACTGTAACATATATCAATAAAACATTGTCCAACTGATCACTGTCTCTTTCTTGGCCTCTGTCTTTATAGTGGTCTTTTGTTTTACTTGTGGAGGAACATGGATTTGGGGGTAATTTACAGAGTGACTTTGAGATTTTTCAGTTTTCCAATAGGGAACACCAGAATTCCTGCTAGGGAGGCCAGTGGCAGGACCCTGCCTGCTCAGAGCTGGCACCTTGCACCCATCTGGCTGTGGCTGACCTCCTCAGTCCCCGGGCAGCTGGCCCAGAAGGGCAGATGCCTCTACTGGCTCTGCATTCCCCATCCAAGTCTGGCAAGTGCACAGCAGGTCACAGCCAGACAGCAGCCCCCACTGCCACACTGCTGTAGAGGGTGCAGGAAACTCTCAGGGCTGCTTCAGCAGTCCAGCTGGCATAAGGGGCAGTGTCCCCAGGTACCAGTTGGCTGGGCCCCAGAAGCTCCTGAGAGCTAGTAGCGCTGAGCTACTTGCCAGGGCGGCTTTTTATACTGCTGGGGCCAGGACAGGGTAGGTTTTTATACTGCTGGGGACAGCACAGGTGCTGGCCCTGGACTCTAGCTCCCCCTGGCTGAAGATCCAGGAGGAGTCAGGCAGGGTTATTTTGCCCCTATTGGCACAATTTGTTCCACAACAAAGTGCATGTCCGAGCACCTGCTCTGAAGCAAAAAGCCCTGACTCAAATTTGCACCACTTGTATTTGAGCTGCTGCAAGCACGCATGCTTGCATGTGTGTACGCGCCCCTTATGTTCTAGTGAGTGGCATTTAATTTCTTAACAATGGACATAAGCTACATCTCTTATACTAGAAGTTGGTTAACTCAATTTACATGCTAAAGGATAGAAAAAAGAGTGAAAAGAAAGGTTATTAAAATGTGTTTTTTTAGGAAGAATAGTAACTTTAATTTCAGAGTTTTAAAGTTATAGATGAAAGGCCATGAAATTCTGCAGAGTATCTTGGCACTAGTCTAATAGTGTTATCTCTGAAACGACAGGATTTCTGCAAACAAACTTTAAAAATTTTGCATCATTTTATTTGGCATCATTTTTAGTCTGAAACTGTCATTCTGACATATTTATTAGCTTACTAAAATTAAATGCTTTTGCTAATAATGATTCAAAGTTTTGTACAAAGCCATAATAAATTCCTTCTGCATGGTTTGTAAATTAGTACTTTATGGTGGTATCATAAATGCCATTTCTATGCTACTTTGAAGATGTTCTATTTAGAATTGAATGTGTCTATAGGTAAATAATTAAAATATTGAACAATTTGCATATTTAAAATTAAAGTATATGAAAAAAAATTGTAGAGACTTTTGAGCCATATTTAAAATTTTTAATCATAGGTCATCATTTTAGGGCATGACCCAGATAGTATTTCCTAGTTTTCAGAAGTTTTTTTTTAAAGATCTAATAAAAAGAAGCTCTATTAAAGTGATTTCTGTTTTATCTTCTAAGTTATTGTTATTCCTACTTACTAAAATGTATTTTCATGTGGCTTCTGAAGAATGGGGGCATGTAAAATCCATACATCCAAGTTTTGTCTCATGGAAATGTCATATTGTTTGAGAATGCATTCTTGTTTATTTTATATTAAAGGAAAATCAAATTTGTATGCACGTTTGAGTGCCTTACTAGTAAAGCTGGAAAGTTTCTAACACCAATAAACATTTCTTTACTGTACTAGGACTTTCTTTCATAACAAATTATTAAATACACAGAACTGAAGCCTGTAGTACTCATTTATAACATGCCTCTTTGTTATGCAATTACAATTTAAACAAAATTGAGAGAAAACATCTTGAAGTAATGATCTAGCTAAAAATCTGCTCCAGTGGCTCAGATGTATAGCATTTTTTATTTTTTGTGTGGGAGTTGATTTTTCTTATCCTTTCAGAAATGGCTTCTCTTAAAGTGGCCAGACCTCACAGAAAACTATCTATAGATATTAATTTCCATAGAATTATTCCTCTCTCCTTTGAAATAAAACTTGAAGGGGTCATTAACATCAGAGTCATTCCTTCAACTTCATATGATTGAAGTACTAACATTGTTGAACAGAGATGTTTTTGTAACACAGGCTTAACAGGAGTTACAGTTTCTGTTTGAATACAATAGCCAGGTACAGCCATTCAGTTTCTACCAGAATTGCTGTTCTCATGGTAAAAATCAAGAGTGTACAGACATTGAAGCTTTTTAATTTTTTGAGCAAAAATGACCACCCCAAGAGATAACAAAAATAACATGGCAACAACCAGGATTAAATCACTTTGGGACAGTTTCTCCTGGAAGACTGAACCTCTAACCATATTCCCCTGGCTTAATTTTTACTCGGGACTGTCATGACCCATGATTGTGTGCGCGCTTCGGCACTGCAGAATTATTTCCCACCACATGGAGCTTTCTTTGCACGGTGCAATTCTCAGCTGCAGAGAGAAAACCCCGGTTCAAAGGAGTTCCCGCCGCTCGCATGCAAATTTGTTCCCCATTATTGGCTGTTTCTAAATTATTCCCACGTGGCGGGTAGCAATTGGCTTGCTAGCCGTATAAGAGGCTTGAGCAGTTCCCGCCCAAGTCGGAGATCTCCGGGGAGGACCTCATTTAGAAGGACTCCGCATCCATCTCATGGAGAACTCTGGGCCACGTGGTAGAGCCTAGCAAACTCTGCGCGTGTCTCGGAGCCGACCGATGGTTTGATCACCCATCAAGAGTCTCTCCCCGTCACCGACCAATACCTCGACGTACCCCTGCCCTGCGCGCTCGTTGAGAGTCACAGCTTGGACTCTCATATCGGTTCAGAGAGCTCTCATCATGTTTGTTTTGCGGAGCCTAGCAAACTCCGCTCGTGTGTCTTCGGTGGAGCCTAGCAAACTCCACTTGTGTTTGTCTGTAACTGCAACTCAAGCAAGTTTTGCTGCCTGCACCGCGACCATCTACGGTGTAAGTAAAATAATCTTTACTCAACCTCCACGCGTCTGCGCCTAATTCTAGTTCGCCATGCCAACTTCCCCGGCCCACGTGCCCGGGCTGCTGGCCACAGCCCCTCAGCCCCGACAGGGACTAGGATGAGTGGAGCTGGGGAAGAAGGCTCCATGTCTTCCTCAGGCTGGGGTGGCCCCAATCCTAAGAAGGTATGAGGGGTGGAAAACATGGAGTTGAGGGGAAGAGCAACCACCACTCTCTGCCTTTTCCCCAAATGGGCAGTCCCCAGTTTTGGGAGGAGGCAGGGGGCCTTGCTAGCCCTTCTGGCTTCCCCTTGCCACCCTCTGCTGCCTAGATGAGTGACATGTTCCTTTGTAAACAAACATCTTCTGACTCCCTTATTTTCTACCTACGAACATCATTTTCTGTAAACTGAGATTGTTATAAGCCTACATAAAGTATTAAGTTTGAGGCAATTTTGTTTCACTACCTGAGGCTGGCTACTACTTTTTGGTGGCTGTTTATCCAACACTTTTTATATCTCCTTCCATTTCAAGAGTGGAATTTTTTATTAATCAATGGCATCCTTTCATCTGTGAAACAGTGGTTATTGCAGCCTGTGATGTACATGGTTTGCAGTGTCTCATGTGACTGAATAGTTCAATCTAAGATTTGCATCATCTGTGGCAGTGGCTGCAAATGTGTGTGTCATGGTTGGGTGGTTTGGGAGCTGCTTGCTTCCTACAGACTCTTTTCTTTTCAAGCTGTTGGAACCAATTCCTGTCATGGGCTTTAATGCCCTGGTGGAGAAAATTATGCCACTTATTCCAATTGCTCGCCAAGGTTTCCCATGGATCAGGATCAATTCCAAATGCCTTCATACCTCACTTGCATGTGTCTTTATAACAAAGCTTAGGGCATCCTGTTGTTCTTGTTCCCTCCAATAGTTTCCCGTATAGCATGTCATTGGGTATACATCTATCTTCTAATCTGCTCAGATGGCCTAGCCAATGCAGTCATCTCTGTCTGAGTAGGGCTGTCACACTTGGTAAATTTGCCCTTTGCAAGAAAGTTACCAATGTGGAGGTACTTCAGTTTAATGTTGAGTATGCAGTGTAAACAGTGCAGGTGGAAGCTATTTAACCATTTTTCTTGATATGTGTAAGTTGTCCATGTTTCCCCACGATACATGAGAGTCCAGAGTACACAAGCTTTGTACACTAGCATTTTAGTCTTGATGGTAAGCTTTCAGTTGTTCCATACTCTTTTAGTTAGTCTGCTGAAGGTGGTGGCAACCTTTCCTATGTGAACATTAACTTCTTCATCCAGTGAGAGGTTGGTGGTCACTGTAGAACCTAGATAGCTGAACTTTTGGACTACTAGCTAGTTCTCATTAAGGGTAATTGATGGATTTTGTGGAACTCCCTGTCCTAGTACAACTGTTTTCTTTATGCTGATAGTGAGAGCAAATGCCTGACAAACTCTTGAAAGGCGATCCTTGAGTTCTTGTAGTATGTCTTCATTGTGGGCTGTAAGGGCAGCATCATTGGTGCATAGAAGCTCCTTGATAAGCATCTTTCTAACTTTAGTCTTTGCCTTGAGTTGTGACAGGTTGAAGAGTTTCCTATCTGATCTTGTGTGAAGATACACTCCACCTTACCATATCTTTAAACACACAGTTCAGGAGTACAAAGAAGAAGATTCCAAAGAGTGTAGGGGCAAGAACACATCCTTGCTTCACATCCACTTTTCATCTCAAAGCTGTCCAATGTAGACCAATCAAACTGAACAGTTGCTTTCACGTTGTCATAGAAGAAACATATAACACTTAACAGAATTGGTGGGCATTTTGTAGGACTGAAAGTCGACCTGCTGTGCTGACAGTGTGAAATGCTTTGGTTAAATCTTTGAATAGTCGGTTTTGCTCTCTGCATTTTTTTTGAAGTTGACGCAGGGAGAATATCATGTCTAGGGTTGATCTTCCAGTCCTGAATCCGCACTGAGATTCCAGGTAGACACAACTCGCCAGCTGTTGTAGGCACACCAAGATGACCCTTGCAAAGGCTTTTCCTGCTATACTTAGTAGTGAGATACCTCTGTAGTTGTTGCAGTCGCCCTTATTTTTATACAAAGTGACAGTGTTTGCATGATTTGAGAGGGGCAACTTTGTTGACAGTAGAGCACCATCTTTTGAATCCCTTATTTTCCGCCTACCAACATTATTTCCTGCAAGCTGAGATTGTTATAAATCTACATAAGGTGTTTAGCCTGAGGCAACAATTTTTTTTTCACTACCTGTGGCTGACTGCTATCTTTTGGTGGGTGTTTATCCAGTCCTTTTCATATCTCCTTCTATTTCAGAAATTGAATTATTTTTTAACACACAGCAATTTCCTTGTCCTTCTGAAAAGGTAACCACACTTTGAGATCTCAGGGTTAAAAAGCTTATAATCATTCTAGAGGGGTTGATTCCTTTTTTGCAGCCTTGACTGTGGCCATGTTCTGTGTCACCTCTATATAGAATCTATTGTCTTCCTACCTGAATAAAGGGGTAGGCAAGATGTACAAAAAAGTTGTAATTATGTTGGGAAGGCACAGATCAGCTAACTGTTTGCAGATCTACTCTCTTTATAATATCCCAAGTAATATTGCTTAAGCCAGATCTACAATTGCTTAAAAGAATTTGTGGATTTGTGAATGGGAAGCAGTTATAATATCCAGATCCCACTTGGTGAGCCCTGTAACACAAATGTTGAAATTGAGTGGTTATGAAACTATGCTTCATAGCCCGCTGGTGCTCCTTGGAGGGTTGGCTGGTTGTGTGGTGCTGGCTCCTTCCTCTTCTTTCTGGCTGCTGTATTAAATTAAAGACTTCTAAAAATACATATGTTTCCCAATATAGCTCTTCTACTTAGTTCTGTAATTGCTGTAGTTCACACATGGATGCTATATAATTACATATGGGTGGGGATGTAATTCATATGATGATGCAAGCCAGAGGCAGAGTAGCCATGGGCTCATGAGGAAGATGTGATCTTTGCTATTAACAAGTTTGAACAGCACTGTTTTAAGTCTAATGATACCTCTTTGCCAATCTGAAACAAAGATGGAAACATGACATCATGCAAATAGACTATTTTGTTTTGAATTGGGGCTAAAGTGATTTAAAAGCAGCTTGTCGTAAGTGGTAAGCTTTGTTTAATCATAATCTTATAGTATATAGAGTTGTTTTCTAAACTATTGAATGTGTGATTTTGATTTCAGAATTGTAAGTAGCTTTGGTTATTTTGAAATATGCCTTTTTCAACTCCATTGTTCTTTGAGAGGGGAGGGGGCAGGAATGACTGTTTGGAGGAACTAGTCCCACTTCTCTTCAGTGGAAGGTTCCTTTTATTTGAACTACCTAACACAGGGGCCAGCAACCTACAGCCTGTGGATCAAATCTGGCCCACCCTACCACTGGATCTGACCCATGGGGTTTCAGCAAAATTTGGGGGCAGGGGCTTTGATTGCAGACACTCCCTTCATGTCTCCATAGGGACAAGTGCCAGGGCTGACCCCCTCTGACCTAGGGTGGGTCATTCTGGCTCGCAGCTGGAAAAGTTTGCCTACGCTAACTTAACCAAAGTGAAGTTTCCTGTGGGACATAGTGGAGGGGTGGGTATTATCAGGCAGAGATGCTTGGGATTGGGGCAGTGGAAGAGGGAATTTGAAGTTTTAATTTATGAAATCTATCCATTCTCTTTAGTATTGCACCCCTCCAAAAATTCTTCTTATGCACTTAGATCAGAACATTGCCCTCATCTCAGAAAAGGAGCAATGACAATTCCACAAGGCTGCCTACAGTAGAAACACTGAGCTTAATCATCATGCTGGTTCTGACTTTTATTTATTTATTTTTTTACAGTAGCTGTAAGCATAGTTGATTCAACTACTATAATGCTGTCAAAGGTCAGGGCACTGTTGTATTATAACATAGTACTTTATATTATAATTTTTTGTTAATGAAGAGAGGCATGTTGTGTAATGCCTTGCTGCTTAGTAAGCTCATCAGCCCATTACTCTAATGATATCTTATATCATTTCTGAAATATTCAAGTGTTAGGTATAGATTGTTGCATGAGGATTTATCTCCTTTGAACGATAACATATTTGTGGGGTAAAACTTGCAGCAAACATCATTAAATAAACTTCTGTCTATGGTATGCTTGAAGTTCTTACCTGTCAAATGTTAATCTATTTGATTTAATTTTTGGCTGGTATCTATGGTTACCCAAGTTAATGGGATATACAGCACTTATGGATGAATTGCTTTATCTCCTATTTTTAGACAGAAGAATTTAAATGAGCAAATCCATCAGATATGCTTCAAGTAGCTGTTAGTATTTCATATAGTTACCTCAGTAATGCATTTAAAAATCTGGAGAATGTTCTGTAGAATAATTGTTTTTCAGAGTATTAGCACTAGATTTATCCCCACAGGACAAAGTATGTAGCTTAATTTCTGTAGGTATACATCTGATATTTCTAACAGGTGTTTGACATTAAGTTGAAATGGGTTCTGTGGAGGGAACCTCAATGACTTGTTCAATCAGTTTTGAAGTGATATATGTGTAAATAAGAGAATGTCTTCTCTCTCTCTCTCTCCTCTCTCTTTCTCTTCTCCCCCACATCTCCTTCACCCCACCCCTTTAAATGAGGTAGTTAATGGCTTTATTTAATTTCATTGAATGTGTGTGTGCAATAAAAAGTGGCTTTACTATCAAGGTCTGTGTTAGGATATTATACCATGAACATCACAAGATTTTGAATTTTTAAAATATTACCATATCTTACACTGAAAAAGTACTTAAGGTAACCTGGCTTTTGTTCAGTCAGATTGCAGAAAGTACTGTGTTTCACTGTAGTAACACCATATCAGGGGACACAGATATGATTAAAATAGAATTCAATCTACTTTAGATGATAAAACTAATTTAGTCACGTCCCCGAAAAGTGAATAAAGCCTTGGATAGAGTAATGCTGTAACATAGTTCAGGATAGAGTATTTTAATCAAGTCTAGCTACAACTCATTAAATAAAGCACTTATACAAATGTATATGTTTTTGAAGTAGCAACTTGATTATTGTCAGGATAACAAAATAATAAGAATTGTGGGTTTGAATTCAAAGTTTAAATTTCTGAATGTTGGAATGTTAGAAACTTGTTCCAGTACAAATGAGTGGGTACAACATTTCTTCTACAACATTACTTTAAACTTGGATTGGGTCACTTCCTTTTTAAGCTTCTATTATTATGGTATTAGGAAAGTGACCTGATTTTACTGAAACTAAACTAAAATAGATATCAAATTAGAATATGTAACTGCAGTCAAAAGTGGCTTCCAGCACAAAAGTAGGAAAACTAAATAATCTTTATTGAATGCAGTTGACCAGAAATTCAAGTCAGAGAAATGGAATAACGTCTATTAAACTAGTTACCAAACTAATCTGAAGAAAGATGAGCCTCATGGGATGAATTTTTTATGGAATAAGTGCTTACAGCATGTATACCCAATGTAACTTCTAATCTCTTCTGTATCAGTTCTGTTCTATTCCTTTATCTTTTATGTTACTTCCTTCTCTCACCTTTAATATATGAGAAAATAATTCATATTGCTTTTATTCTGTTTACATTTGATAAAAAAGTAAATTTGTATTGGATTAACAGACCAGTTGACAAGTGTCATGTCAGCTGTGGTACATACCTGCTACTAATGCTGAGAAGATTTGTTACTCGGTGCAGCAATAATTGATTACTAGTCTGTCTATTTTATCATCAGTCTTAGGAAACCACAATCCGTGCTGTGCATAAGGATTCCAAGAAAACTCATAATTTTTCTATTATTAATCCTGTGGCTGGAGAGGCTGTGACTCAAATTTTTGCAGCTGACAATAGGGAAGAACTTCATAAGTGGATGGAAGCTTTTTGGCAGCATTTCAATGATTTTAATAAGTAAGCAGTTTTGGCAGCATTGTCCTTCAGGTGGTTATTATGTAACATCAAATGAAACATTAAACAATCTGAACTGAAATTTCATCACAATCCTGTTATTTATAACAGGAAAGATAGAAGTATTTGCCTGATGAGTTTATTGTACTATGGCTCAGTCCTCTGTAATCTTTAACTTCTTTTATTAATTCTAATGTGCCCAGAAATGTCCAGTATGGAATTCCTTAGGAAGTCAGAATAGAAGTTTGAACTACTTAATGGTGCGTGTCAGGGCAGGAGCAAGGAAAAGTGGGGAAGGGGATCCTGAAGTGATTGGTCAGAAGTGATTGGTCTAGTTAACTTCTTTGGAACACCAGTACCTTTCCAAGTGTTGGTGGAATCTCACCATCCTTCCCTCATTTGTAGTAAATAAAGAAATACTCTTATAGAATCCTGAAAACAGCATCTTTTTGGTAAGAATAATTAGAGGAGATTTTGAGTGCTGACTTGATGGAAGGCCTGAACAGTGTATTGGAAACAATATTTGATCAATCCTTGCAAATAGAAAAGGTTCTGTAATGACTTGGACTTAACTGGATGTGATTATGATACCACTGAACACTTAGTTCTTGTGCAGTGTTGGAATTCTTCATTTTATAGAACTGAGAAATCAAAGATGACTCAGTTTCACTGGTACCTTCTCAGTGGCAGGTGCAGCTTTTGTGCCCAAGGGTTAAATGAGAAGATGGGTGTGTGAGCGGGTAAGTGATCCTAGCTCCACCTCCTTCTGAACTTGCCTGCCATGACTTGGATCGAAAGAAAATGTAGAAGGTATCAGTGTCCTTTTAGAGCTAAGAATCAATGACGCCACCCAGATAACACATGCTCACAGTGTAGTTTTTATTTTCTAGTGGAGGAATGGCTCAGTAACAGTAGCCTTGCTAATTACTTCATTAGTGAGGTGCATCTGAGCTGCCGATAAGTTAGCTCAGGGCCAGATGCCTCACAGATACAATGTAGCACTTCCCATTCTTACTGCTAATTGTCTTGTTAGCGAGGTGCGTTCCCCACGTCTCTCGCATCTGGGAGCAGTCTCGGATGCTTCTCCGCTTCTCACGCCGCCACTCTTGGCATTGTAGAAGTCCTGGGGTCAAGGCCAGGGCTTACATGCGATCCCCCTGTCTGTCCATCATCCAGGGGGGTCTCTCTCTACTCGGGGTTCCCCCGCCAAGCAGTTCTATGGAACCCCAGCTCTTCCCACACTCACCAGAGTGGCGGGAATCTCAAGGTAAGTAGCTTGTCTTGAGTCCTGCAATCTCAGCACTTTCCCAGGTCACCAGGTGGGTTACTCATCTCTCACTGTCTCCATCTGGGGCTTCAGTTGCCCTGTACTTTTCTCTTATGCCTGGAGGCAAAATGCATATGCCCCGCTGCCGGATATATACTGTCCATGGCGGACTAATCCACCCTGCCCTGCCCTGCCCTGCCCTGGGTGAGTGATTACCTCCACCTGGCAGGGGGGCATCGTTGGGTCAATCTTGCCTGATCCTGCCTCAGTAACAGGGCTCCTGCCTGAGCCCCTGTTACAGGGTGCAATACAGAAATTGTTGTTCTGTTCTCTGGTCTTAGTGTTTTCAATAGTAAAATATTTGTATTTTGAAAGGAAGTTCTCTCTTTTTGGCTTTGGCTTAAATCCTTTGACTACACTGTTTTTGCACTTACTGAAATAATATGCTGTGTTGATTAGACTGAACTCAAGGTATTATAATATGAAGTGCACAGGGGGATTAATTAACATTTTCCTGATGCAGTAGTTTGAAGATATATTTGAAGATTTTTTTTTAAATACACATAAAGTGGTTACAGACTACACGACAAAATATGTAAATGCATCTAATATCTTTTAATGGGTAAGTTATAAAAATTGGTGGCTGGTCATGGGGAAATGGAGTTAAATAAATGCATAACATCAGTGTGTTAAATCAGGATCTATATCTTTCAAATCAGTCAACTAAGGATATGGAAATTGTGTGTTTGTAATTTGAAGTTTTTCTTTTTTTTATATAACTTTCTCTGTGTTACAATGATAAGCAGTATCAATTAGGAAGACACAGAAATTAAAAACTAGAATATCCTCCATAAATTAATGGTGGGGCAGGGGGCAAACAGACTAATTTTTATTCATTGTAGGTAGAATACCAGGGTAGGTTGCCTTGGATGAGCCATTTTCTTTTGATGTAGGAAAAATTGGGCAACTTGGCATTCAAATGCTTGCTTCTGGTTCTAAAATGTTCTCAAAATATGGTCAGAAAAATTAGAATAATCAGCCTATTCAACGTACTTTTATGGGTGTATTCTATTTTCCTTAAAGTAAAAATCTAATTAAAAAGAAGTTTCCTTGGATTTAGTTAAGTTAGGTAGCCATTTGTGTTCTGATAGTTGGGGGAAGGAAAAGAAACTTTACAGGCAAAACTGTATGTAACAAGTGATGGACAGCATTGAGTTTGCTGTATATTGGATTCATATGCTCCTGACTTACTGTTTCCCTAAGGTTTCTATAACAGGTTGCCCTCCCCAGCGGCATCTTTTTGCTTGCTATCTGTGATCTACGAGGGGCGCCCTTGAAGTCCTTTAATGTTTCTCGTGTCCCACTTTTACTTACCTGCCACATCTTGATGGAAAATTTTTCCAGATGTTCTTGTAAGCGGGAGAATGCCTATTGTATTTTTATGTTGGGGTTCTCAGCCACCATGGGCCTTGACCCCTGTATTTCTCTAGCTAGGCCTCCCAGTCTAAACCCACCAGATAGGGTTTGACTCCGAGCCTCTAGCTCCTTGGTCTTGGGGCTCGTGGCCCTCCTTTTTGCCTCCAATACAGAGACCCAGCTCTCTGGCCTAGAGGCCCATCTATTGGCCCCACAGCCCAGGGGCCGCAAGTTCAAAGCTAGGCAGTGGTCTCAAACCCCCACTGTCCCAGCCCAAAAGCACACAACTGCACACCTGGTGTACCAGGCCACCTTGGCCTTTTATGACTGCATCTAAGGTGCTACTGAGGCCTCCTCCACCCCTACAGCCTCATCCACAAACACATTTTCTTTGTGGCTTGGTGCTTCTGCTTCTTCACTGCCTGTGATGCTCCTCCCAGTGGCACTGCTACCACTTCTCTGAGGATCAACAGCAGTTCCCTTCTTACAGCAGTCAGACCAGCAGCCAAGCCTCTTTGGGGAGCTCCCATACACAACTTCTTTCCCCTTTGGCCACTACCCCTCTACTGCTGCCAAGCCCAGGGTTTTTATAGTTCTGGCCTGCCCCTTCCAGTCACTTGACTAGCTGGCCAGGCTCAGCTTTTAACCCCTTCCCTGCCAGCAGGCTGTGCCCAGAAAGTTCTGGTCTTAAAGGGACCAACCTGTCTTCTGGTAACAGGGATAGGTTTCCCTGTTACAGTTTTCTTAATTTAAATTCTCAAAATCTTGCAAAGTCCCCTGTTTGGGGATTTGGGGGCATACATGAAGGTTTAGCATTATAGTCTGGTAATATTGCTGAGATTAGTTTAATATCTGTTTGTTACCTTGTGGTAAGGGTTAGGAAGAGCTTACCTGGTGGGACCAAACATTTACTGCCTAGATTTGCCTGTTTGGAGGAAGTTTGAAAATATAACTTAATTACTTAAAATTTTTCAAAAGATGAAGTGTATAAATTCTAATCATTGTTCTATATTCCCTCCCAGGCCATTGGAAACATTGTTGCGAATAATTAATGAAAATTGAGATTATGTCACCATGGAAACCACCTTTGTTCTTGACAAAAGAGGCAACCTCAGTCTACCATGATATAAGTAAGTAGGATTTGTCTTTTCAAGTTTTGCAGGGTAACTGAAACAACATTATCTGTATTCAAATGGCTTCTGGTGTTGATGTTGAAACACTGAATTTTTCAAGGGTGATTTCAGATAATGAAGCAGAGCAACATCATTGCATACCAAGAAGTTTGTATTATATATGAATTAATAATAGCAAAAAATAATGAATACATTTTCATACCTTGAACCAAAAAATGCAGTCTGAGCTATAATTAGGGAGCCCTTAAAACGTTCAGACAAAAAAAAGCTATTACTTGAAATAAACGTTCACTACAGGAATAACTTAAAACCCAAAGAATTAAAATGTAGGAGTTTTAAATAGTTCAGACTGCAAACCAATAATGCCCAGAACTAGTTACATTAAATTAATTCACTGTTTTTCCAAGCTTTGTAAGAACTATTTATAACTTAACAAACTGTTCAGTCTATGACAACAACATTAAGACTAGGGTATGTGAAAAAAATCTTCCTTAAATGCATCTGAGCTATGCTAATGTTCTTACCCCTACTTTTGCACAGTAAAATATAATGCCAGAAGATTACTTGTATATATATATGTTAGAAACGAGTGTTTGCAGTCTAGAAGTAGGTTGCTTTATTTCACTGAGTCTCATGTGACATTGTTCGGGAAATAATGTGTGAGTATATATGCCTGGTTGCTTGCAGCAGGAGAGCTAAGTTGCAAAGATTCCCAAATTGACATGCTAGTCATTATGTTATAATGCATCAGTGTATTGAACAATGTAAAAGTAATTCCTTTTGAACCATGAATACAGAGAAGAAAAGCAGTAAATCAACTATAGAGGAGTCCTATGTAGGCAATGTGATGAAGTACTGTTGCATATACCTGCATATATTAGAGAGTTAATTGAAGAATATGGACTTAAATTTGAAACCACACTTAAAACTTAAGTTCATTTTTATGACCAATTATAGCATTCGTCGCTACAAATCCAGCATCTATGGATATAGGGCCTGTGAGACATGCATGATCCTCCTGCTCTTTTTGATCCAGGGTTTAGGACAAATGCCAATGATTACACAAATGGACAAATCAACATACATTGAACGTAGTTTGTTCTGTACACTGTAAATTATGTGGTGGAGGTTGGGAGAATAATGAGAGGAAAGGAAATGGGTCAAAGCTATCTTCAAGTATTTGAACACAAGACTTGAAGATAAAAAATGCCCTTTTTGGTGGGGTAGAGGTGCAAGAATATTTGGCAGTTTTGACTTTTTTAAATTGATCCATGTATTCTATGCACTTTTCTAAAATGAAATATTCAAAGAATTGAACAATAAAATGTATTGCATAGAATCAGTTCTCCTAATTTTCTCATTGAGCAAAAGTAAAGAGATAATCTTCTCTGGGTCTACACAACATGCTTTACTGCAGAGTTGACTAATTAGCTCCACAGTAAAGCCTCACCATCTACACATGCACCCCTATTAGCCTGGAGTAAACTAATTAACTCTCCCATAGGATAGTACTAGTACTAACTCCACCATAGGATAATATACAAGTACTATCCTATGGTGAAGTTGTTTACTCTACTGCAACACGCATGTAGATGGTGTCCAGTGCTTGCTAGCTCTGCACTGTAGCACCTTCATGCCCCAGCCAGCCCCTCTGCAGCATGTTGAGCTTGTGGGGTGCAGCTCCAGGCTGGCAAGCAGACACCACCCCCCACCCCAGTGCCCCTTGCCTGCTGGGACTGTACTGCCTCGGATCAATATGCTGCAGTTTGCATTTACATGTGCACCTGAGAGCAATAAATTCCAGCGCGAACTGCACCAGAGTTTATTGTGCCTCATTAATATCACATGTAGACACGCTCTCTTTGAGCGAAAATAAATAGAGCACTTGATGTTCACAACAGTTAAATGCTGGTATTCCTGATGCTGTCGTAGGAAGCTTCTAGTCTTCTGCATTTAAATGTATACCATCTTTTCCACTTTTGGCTCTCCAGAATTTGGGGAAAATGATACTCTGTTTTCTATATTCATAAGACTGATAACCAAGCTGGTATGAATGAAGTTGTTGTATACTAATTCAATCAGTGTTCAACCAACTTCTAAAATTATAGGCATTGATTCACCAAAGAAACACGAGGGCTTAGTTGACATTATACAAAGAAAAATTGAGGAAACTGAGGGAGAGTTCCTGATCGGCCAGCAGAAAGAGTCTGTACCTTCTCTTTGGGCCCCCATATTTGCTGGTGCTCACCAGATGCTTGTCCAGAAAAGTATTGTACTTCCATGTGAAACTACTAGTCCTAATGATAGCAAAGGGAAGAAAAGAAGAGCTCCACTGCCACCAACTGATAAGCCACCATACAGCTCAAAAACACAGATGAACACAGACCAGTTGGACAAGGAGAACTTTGGGAAGAAGTCTGCCATTACACATAGGACCTCTTCTTCTTTTGATTCCAAGTTATCTTCCGTAATGCATCACTTGCAGAAGCCCATTGCTGCTCCTCGCAAACTGGGACCTTGTGGAAAAAGCAGCCTACCTGACAGTGAAAATCCCCTCTTTTCAGTTACTGAAAGAGAGTTTGAAGCCAAACCAGTACCAGCTCCTAGGAAGAAACCTGTGAAAGAAATGCTAGACCCTAGATCCTGGATGGAGTCACAAATGTAACATTTAAGCCCTGGACAAACATGCTGTTTGAGGTGCTCCAAACAGCAAAGTTAGAGACGTGTGGCTGAAGAAGCATTTAAAAAATGGCCAAAGTATTTCAAATATGACCTTAAAAAAACAAGGAACACCTTTTAAATGCTTCCTGAAATATCTGCATATTCCATCTGTCTTTTGGCATCCCATGGTGCTCCATTAGCCATCCCCATGCCCATGGGTCACTAGGGGAGGTGGGGCAGACAGGGAGAGAGGCTTGCAGGAATTCCTGCTCTCCAGCCCCCTGGAGAGGTGGAAAACAGAGGTGACATCTATCTTATGCGGTGCTGAATTTAAAGTGCTCTAGGATTTGGAGTGTTTCAGATGCATGTCTGTCCATGCCCTTAGTTTAAAAATATGCTCAGAATATAAAAGAGCAATTGATGTTCATCAGTGATGCAAACCTTTTGCTAGAACTTTGTGGCCATTAAAAATAATTTTTAGCATTAAGTTAATAAATGTGGTTGATTGGCAAAAGTCTCTTATTTGGCCTTGAATTTTTCTGAAATCTTAGCTTTGTTTTTCATAGCTAAGATCCAAAGAAATTCCCTAGCAAAGAAGACTTTTTGGGTGTACAGAGGAAGGAAAAACATGATCATGCTCGGAAACTAATTTCAGGTTTGTCTTAGCAGGTCTGATATGCAGTCACCAAGTTCATCAGTTAAGTTTTTTAGGAGTTGGTTCGTTTTTAAACAATCCTGCCAACTCAATCTGCAATCTATGAGGTTCCTTGTGCTTGATATGATGTCAGAATAGGCCAGGATTATTACAGCTGGCTTGTTAGTTCTGATAGCACATAATAGTATAATTTGCTAGTGTGGCTGCTGGTTCTATACCAGTAACATGTTAAAAAAATCCTATTTAAGATGGGAAATATTTACTAAAAATCAATTACTATACACAGAAAGAAGTTTTTAAGAGTAAGGTGTTCTATTTGTTGTCACTTTTATAACATAAGGGATTCATGAAAACCCTCCATGTCAAAAAGATATATTTCATACTACTCCATAGCAGCTAGTGGTAGACATAATAATTGTATGCAGGACCTTGTACTAGAATGCAGTTAGGGGTTTCTCCCTTGTGTTCTTTAACTTTTTGAGACAACATGTGAATATAGTGAAGTCAGACAACTCCTTTGTGGTCTATTGACTACTTGTGGCAAGTTTAGAATTCTGTGAGCAGGAAATTCACTGGGACTGCTGCAGGACACCAGTAGATAGGAAGATCTTCTCTTTCTGATGGTTAGAGTGCAAGACACTACATTTCCTCCCTGGAAATGGTCAGCACCTAGGTAAGGGGATGCATTTGTCAAACCTCAGATAACTATGGATTCTGTTCTGAAAGTCATACTAGTAATTTATGCATACATATCACTCAGTTGCAGACAAGACCAGTCTGCAGTAAACCACTGCCTCTGAGGTTAGAGGGCAAGGGCTTAAAGTATTATAGTAATGCCAGTCTAATATTCCATTGACCTTGACGAATTGTGAATTACTGATCTTTTTTTAAGAAAAGGAAGATTTAATCCTGGGTAGAGATCTGGAATATTGAACTCACTAGCTGAAGACCCTAATTGCCCATCTTTGTGTTCATGGATAGCTTTGTTTTATATGTTGGATTTTAGTACATGAGAAAATCAGATTATTTGTTTTACTAATAGAAGCAGTTAGTGTTAGATGCCTTTATACAGTTATGAATTATCCTGGTTTATAGCTGGTCTTGATCTGCTGTGCTACATGATGCCATTTATTAAGTTTTTAAAAATCTTGATACAGTTTTAAAGTACTACAAGCTCAGATATTTATAGTTTCTCAATTTTGTATTTTTATCCTCATACATATCCTCTTTGCTGTAGCCTTGCAAAGGGATCTGCAAGCAAAAACCTTATTCTGTATTAATTTATTGGAAAGCATGTGTGTTAAAGTACGGGTTTTTATATGCAAATCCCTTTGCAGGCTGGGGGCCTTTGGTTTCTAGAAAGCTTCTGCTCATTTTATATTTAATCAGGACCCTATTTTTGTCTATGGTAACTGTGCTCAACCTTCTAACAAATTGCAAAGGATTGTTTGTAGGTGGGAAATAAATAACGGGCAGAGAAAGAAAAGAACAAATACATGATTGGTGTAAATTGGACACCCTTGGAAAAGTGGACTGCAAATACTGTAGACAAAAATAAGGGAAGAAAAATACAGAAATAAAATGCAGAAGCAAATACATGAAGTGTGATTATAAGGAAGATGGTAATGGACCATGTGGCTGCAGGGGCAGGGCAAGAAGTAATGGTCTTAAATACAAGAAGGGAAATTTAGGCTGGATAATGGAGATAATTTTAAAATTTATAAATGAGCATGTTACGTAGGGATTTGTGCAGTCTCAATCCTTGGAAGTTTTTAAGAGCAGGTAGGGACAATAGTTGGCTGGAATGGTTTGGACTGGAATGATCCTGGCTTGAGCAGGGGTTGGACTTAGTAATATACTGAGATCCTTTCCAGCCCTATATTCCATTTAGAAATAGGTTATAGGAAAATTCTGTGACGTATTGGCAGCTCCTTTGCCTTCAAGTCTTAAACTGTTGGAATAAAAAGTAAATTTTTCATTTTTTTACCACATCACCTCTATTAAGTTACTGTATTCCAAGATATATTTCTAAGATTTTTAAGGTCAAAGGAACACTAAAGATGATTTATTCTGGAATTCATCAGGCCATTGAATTTCACTCAGCAATTTCTCCATTAAGCTCAGTAAAGTTGTTTTGCACTGCAGTGCATCTTTAAGCCAGCTTTTAATATTGATTTTTAAAGATGCCATGTGTGATAGAATTCATCAATACCTCCTGTCATGAGCTGTTTCAAAGGTGAATTACTCCTGTGTACATTTTTCACATTAAGTTTTGAATTTTTCAAGCTTCAACCTCCAGCTTTTACATGTTGTTATACTTTTGTCTCCTAATACAGACCCCTCTGCTAATATTTTTTCTTGTAGGTAGGCAGTTAGATCACAGTTGAGTTTCCTTTTAACCTTATCTTTAATAAGCTCAATATCATTACCTTAGCTAGGGTTCTGCTTGTGGTACACAGGCACTGGGTGCCCTCACACAGAGGGGTGCAAAATCAAATTGAAGTAATATTATGTAGTAGCATGTAAGGAGGCACTCTGTACATGACCTGCACTGAGTACCAAAATGCCTGGGTATGGCTCTGCTTAATATATTGAATTCCTTAAATATCTTATTGCAAGGAACCTTTTTCTTTCAAAGCCATAATTGTTCTTAGAATTCTTCCTTGAACTTATCAACTATTTAAACATCTTTTTTGAAGTGTGGACATGCAAAACTGGAAGTAATATTCCTGTAATGATCTCCTAAATATTTGTGTGCATGTATGTGGTCTCTATTTTTTGTTCCTGTATGGATCATGTTTTTGCACTTTGCCAGAGCATTGCGCTGAGAAATAACGTTCATGACCCAGGTTGCCTCCCAAGTCACTATATTCAAGAGTGTCGTTCCTCATCCTATAATTGGCCTACTTTTTTTCCTAGATAGATGTATAACTTATGTTTAGCTGTATTACATTTTGTACCAGCTCCTGAAGTGATTCAGATTGCTCTTTATAACCTACCTGTCTCATTCTTGACTAGTCAGTCAAGCTTTGCCAGCTTACTACCAGTCACTTCTACACTTTCTTTGAAGATTAAAAATTTTGAGGAAATGGTGGATTGAGAACTGACCTATCTGAGGTCCCACTATTGATGGTTCCCAATTAACATTGTATTCTAAGAGCAGCCAGTTGGTTCACTGAATACGTCCGTATTGATTTATAGTGCCAGTATTTTAATCAGAATGGGGTGGCCATTTCACACACATTGGAGAATTAAATGCATTACATCAGTGCAGTCACCCATTATCAACCAAACTTGTAATATCAAAGGTAGATATGCAACTTGTTAGACAAGATCTGTTTTCTGTGAGCCTGTATTGGTCTGCCTTAATTATATTTCCGTCTTTTGAGTCCCTTATCTCTATTCCCTTAGTTCCCCAGAGAAATAGAAACTCATAATGTATGAGTATTAGAAACTCATAATGTATGACACTGTTTCCTTCCAGTCACCTGGGAAGACTCCAACGTGCAAAGGTTTGTTAAATGTATTCATTTAGGAACATAGGACTGGAAGTGATTTGCTGATTCACTGAGTCAAGTGTAGAGCCATCATAGGCAACCCTTCCAAATGTATCAAGTGTCAGCTGCTGCTATCTTAATAGTTATTGTCATCAACTTCACTTTCTTCTTTTGTTTTTCACATCCCCTGTACCAGGTTAATTCTTTAACTAAAGTAAACTACTGTTTTGTGACTGAGGAATTGTGGCATTGCTATATCTAGCAAAGTATTTTTCTAACGTTGCAGTTTTATTTAGGCAACTACTGATACTTTCCAGTCACAAACTTGCCATTCCAGAGTGCTTCCCAGCTAGAATGCTACAAGCATGTGCTGTTTCATTTCTCTTGTCACAGGCTTGTCCTATCTCAGCAGATCCAGGTGGACAAGTATTAAGACTTATGTTCATTTAAGGCTCTTATTCTTTCTTGGAAAACCAAAGGTAAATAAAACTCTCTTGGTTTGAAGACACTTCAGGTAGTATTTAATCCACAACTGTTCTGTTTAAGGCAGTGGTTCTCGGCCTTATTAGATTCAAAGAACTCAGAAAGACTGCAACAGATCAGAGTATTTTTTTGACAGTATGGATTCCTGTTGGAAATCTCTGCATTTATCTTGTGAATTGTGTGTAGGTGTTTGCACACCTAACAGTGCTATGTGTAGTACCCTTAAAAATGCTACGCCACCCAAAAGTGCCACAGCACCCTGGTTGAAAATTGCTGGTTTAAAGCTTACGATTAACATATTTACTCAAATCCAAGACAAAGTTCAATGAAGCTCCTCATCTTGGATCCAAGTACAAGGTGGAGGGCAGG